CCATTCACATCAAGATTCATTTTCAATTATCTTTATATACAGAAGATCAATTTAGTATATATTAAGTAAAGATTTCATCAGTTTGCACCCACACAGAACATAATACACTCTGAGATTTTAAAAACACAAAACTGCAACATCTCCCTGTAATACCTTAACTGTCAAAGTCCTAGAGGCACATTTTAAAAACTTTTATTAAATGTTCAGTTCTCAAAATTATACATATTTCTTAATTATGAAGAATCCTCCACCGCATCCCACCATTCCCAACCCCTCCATCCACAGCAGGTCCTGTCCCAGCAACAATAAGCTCCATGAATCTACCCCAAAGGGGAAGATGCAAGGTCCTCCAAGGACATTTCACAACTCACACCAACTTCCAAATATTTAGGGTGCCCACCAGCTCCACGCAGCAGACCAAACCCCACACGGGCTGGCCAGCCTCTGCCGGGGCCTCCGCTCAGGAATCATTCAGGAGCCCAAACAGCTTCACAGTCCAGCTTCCTGGCTGCTGTCACATTTGCCACGTTTGTCATCACAGGCAAAGGCTAGCAAGGCCTTCTGGGGCGCCAGGACACAGGGAAGGTTGGGGACCCACACTGCACCTCCTGCAGCTTGTCTCCTGTCTACTTCAAGCGATGTCGATAAAATGATCTGATGCAGATGCCAGCATTTTCCCATCGTGACTGAAACGGACAGCCCTCAGGGGCCAATCCAGCCCGGAAAAGCCCCGGACACACACTAACTCGTCCACATACAGGGCCATCTCCCTGTAGCAAAGTTCTTCCCCATGGGGTCAAAGTCAATGGAGCTGCGGTTGGAATGCTGGGCACTGATGGACCGCACAGCCTTCAGTTCGGGGTAGCCATGGATGTTGATGCAACCATAGGCATTGGCCGGAAGAACATGTTCTTATCGTTGCTCCAGGAGAGTTCGTTGACCTCACACTTGAACCGCGCCTCTGCTTTGGAACCGTGTGTCTTGGCATCCATCAGGGTCAGCACATCGTCCTCGTTGCCCACCAGGACTCCCGCAGATGGTAATGACCTCCCCTTTGGTGTTCACGGTGGCAATGCATTTCGTAGTCCTCACATCCGGGATGCGATTGGTTTTATCTCCCGATGCCGTGACAAAGAGGTCGAGGTTACTTGGATGCCAACACAGCTGGGTCCATGCTCTCCCCGTGTCCCCGGTAATTGTTTTCTTTAACCAACAGGTCCTTCTCTAAGAGAAAGACGCTGGCTGTGTCGTCGAAGGACCCCAATTCTAAGCGATGCCCGTCTCAGCTCCAGGCCACCGAGTGCACCTTGGCGCTGTCAACAGGGGAACTCGTGCGTCTTGCTGTGGTCCGGGACAGCTCCTGCATCCTGAGCACGTAGTGCGACGGGCCGCTGCTCATTGAGCCCGGTCCTCTTGAGCCCAGCGTCGAAGGCCCCTGGCAGCCAGGGCGCACCGCCAGGGCGAGCTCACAGACCACAGCTCGCGCACCGCGGCTCCGGCACAACCAGTCTTGGCGCCCTTCCGTGTTCATAGCAGATCAAGTCACAACAGCTAAGACACTGAAGCACCTAGATGTGATTCAGCTGATGGCTGTATAAAAATGTGTTATACATACACACGGTGGAATACTGCTCAGCCATACAAAGAATGAAATCCTGACTTTTGCAGCAAAATGGATGTGACGGGCTAGCATTATGTTCAATAAGCCAGACCCCAGAAGACAAATATCATGTTTTCTCTGATTTCTGGTGGTTAATATATAGAGAGTATAAAATTTTTAATGTATGTGAGTCAAAATGACATCTTTGGATTATTGTTTATAGTCCTTGTCTATATTCCTGATGGACAGTAGGCTTACTACATTTTACTTGTTGAACTCTTTATTTTGTGGAGAGTTAAGTCTCTGACTATAAAGAAAATTAAAAAATATGTTATTGCGAAAGTTAAAAAAGAAGGGAAGGAAGGAGAGAGGAAGGGAAGTGTCAGCATATTTATAGAATTGTTTTTATGAATGACATTAAATCTGTTCTCTTTATATTAATTTTTAAAATGTAAATAAAACAATTTTTAAGATTTATATTTTATTAATTTGAAAGGCAGAGTTACAGAGAGAGAGAGAGACAAAGAGAGAGAGTTCTTTTCATCAGCTGGTTTACTCCCCAAATGACCACAATGGCCAGGGCTTGGCCAGACTAAAGCCAAGAGCCAGGAGTTTCTTCTGGGTCTCCTACATGGGTGCAGGGCAAATGCACTTGGGCCATCTTCTGCTGCTTTTCCCAGGCTCATTAGGAGGGAGCTGAATTGGAAATGGAGCACTGGGACTCGAACCAGTGCCCATATGGGATGCCAGTATTGCAGGTGGAGGGTTTACAGTCTATGCCCCAACACCGGTCCCAATAAAATAATTAAAAAAAAAATTAATGGAAAATGTGTTTCATGAGAAAATCTGCATGGCTTTCAAAATTTTTTATTCAAAATAAACTTACATTTCTAAAATTAATTTTAAAAACCCACACCGGTAATTTGAAAGGGAAAATCTACTGCGAAGAATTATTAACTAGTAAAGCAAGGTTGATAACCAAAGGTACATGAGCACTGTGAAGAATGTGGGAGGAGCAAATAGAGAAGTTGACTGGGTGACATGCCCGGAGCTTGTCTGCAGTGGGCCCATGCGTGACGGGTGAGCAGGAAGCTGCCCACTGGAGTGCTGGCGAAATTCCCCGAGGGTAGAGACCATGGGTCGTTCTGGTTTTTGACTTATTTATTTATACAAAGGGGACAAGTTTCATGTATTTCATAAATACAGTTTTAAGAGCCTAATGATACTCCCCACCACACCTCTCCCTCTGTGCTTCCTTCTTTTTTTCTCATTTTTCTTCTAAATTTTACAATGACGTACTTTCAATTTTCTTTATAATCACAAGATTAAATAAAGAATTCAACAACTAGTAAGTAGAAAAACCACTGATCCTCAAGAATATAGACAAGGGCTATAAACAATAATCAAGTTTCCAAATGTCAATTTTGCTCATATACATTACATTTTTGTAAACTTGATGGTCTCAAGTTTCATCCATTTTGTTGCAAAAGACAGGATTTCATTCTTTTTTTACAACTGTGTAGTATTCCATGGTGTATACATACCACAATTTCTTTATCTAGTCTTCAGTTGACAGACATGTGGGTTGAGTCTGTGTCTTAGCTATTGAGTTGAGCTGCAAATATAAATATGGAGGTGCAGATAATTCTTTCATGTGCTGATTTCATTTCCTTTGGGTAAATTCCCAGGATTGGAACTGCTGACACCATGAGGTCCTCTAAAAGGCTCTAAGAAAGAAATCAGGCCATGAAACAGGAAGAAAACGCCTGAGAAACCTTGTTCTCCCTGAGGTCTTGCACTTTCTCTCTGGTGCCCTCTACTGACAATGCCTAAAGTTATGACAAGTTCTAGGGAATCAACACAGTGTCAGAAAGTGAGAGAGAGTACATTTGGAGCTTTTACTGGCAAAATATTGATTGATGCTGGGACGGTATGTTGGCACTGTTTTTAAAAACAAAATGTGTGCTATGTATGTGTATATGCTGATATTTGTTCTCACTTGTTGTGCATCTACTGGGCATGGCAGCAGCTATTCTAAGTATTTTATGTGTGGGAACTCATTGGATTCTCATAACAACCCCCAGTTGCAGGAATCACTATCTCTACTCTCTGGATAACGAAACTGATCGCCCGAGATGTTGAGGACGTTGCAGAAGGTCACACAGCTGGAAAGTGACAGAACAAAAATTGTCAAAGCTTTATTAGCCTAGAGAAAAAGCCTGAAACAAACAATGAAAACAGGAACAGTGGTGGCCTCAAGGAAGTATTAAAAAGCCCCCCCCCGGGGGGGGGCTGACGCCATCGAATAGTAGGTTAAGCCTCCACCTGCAGTGCCGGCATTCCATGTGGGCACTGCTTCAAGTCCCAGCTGCCCCACTTCTGAACCAGTTCCCTCCTAATGGCCTGGGAAAGCAGTAGAAGATGGCCAAGTGCTTGTGCCCCTGCCCCCATGTGTGAGACCTGGAAGAAGCTCCTGGCTCCTGGCTTTGGATCGGCTCTGGCTGTTGTGACCATCTGCAGAGTGAATCAATGGATGGAAGTCCTCTCTCTGTTTCCCGCTCTCTCCGTAATTCTGCCTCTCAAATAAATGAATACATCTTAAAAAAAGAGAGAGAGAGAGAGAGAGAGAGAAAGCCACAGGAGAGGCTTTCACTTTTAAAATCAGTACTGTGAGCGGTGCTGTGGCATAGTGGGTAAAGCCGCCATCTGTAGTGCCGGCATCCCATATGTGCTCCAGTTCGAGTCCCGGCTGCTCCACTTCCAATCCAGCTCTCTGCTATGGCCTGGGAAAGCAGTGGAGGATGGCCCAAGTCCTTGGGCCCCTGCACCCATGTGGGAGACCCAGAAGAAGCTCCTGGCTCCTGGCTTCAGGTCGGCCCAGCTCTGGCCATTGCAGCCATTTAGGGAGTGAACCAGCAGATGGAAGATCTCTCTCTTTCTCTCTCTCTGCCTCTGCTTCTCTGTAACTCTTCCTTTCAAATAAATAAATATTTAAAAAATTGGTACTAAAAATACACAAATAAATGTGGGGACAAATTTACTGCTTTTTTTCTTTTAATTTATTTGTAGGAAGGTGGGATTTGGGGGGTGGGGTGGGGAGAAGATGGGAGGGGAGTGTTTTCCATAGAATAACACTATTAATGCACGACAGATCTCAATGCCAGGCGTTGAGAAACAAATGCCCCAGAAGTGGTGAGAGCACACGCGGGTGAGCCCCGGGGTGGGGAGGGACTTTCCTGGCAGGGGTGGCAGTGACCTGGGCAAAGGTTGAGAGGAGGGAGAGTCCTGGGGTTCTGGCTCGCAGAGATCTGGGCGGGTCCCAGGGCTGGGTGAGCCAGGCTGAACTGCCTGTCTGCCAACCCTACCCAGTAGCTTGAGGAAGACGGCAGCCAGGAGCTGCCCCAGGGGCACCGTGAGCAAGGCCACTGGCGCGTAGGAAGCACCTGCGCGCTGTCATGGTGTCTATGTCTGCGGCCCACCGCCCGGCACCAGCCTTACCTAGGAGTCATTTCCACGTGGAAAGAGCGGGCCCCGCGGAGTAAAGGAAGCTTGTACATCCCGCAGTAAGTGAAGGGCACAGCCAAAATGTGAATGCACACCCTGCTCCTTCCGCCACACCAACTGCTTTCCAGATGGTAAAGGAAGAGCCCCCCCCCCCACCCCCTCCAGTCGCCTGCTTCTGGGAGGCTGCCCCCAGCGGCTGACTCACAGCTGGAGGTATTTTCTCCATAATGGCTGTGGGCTTCTGGCCAGATCAGCAAAGGGAGGGGCTCACCGTCGGCATTGGCAGCCGCTTCCACTCACTGTCACTTCCTCTTCCTTCCAGGAGCAGTGTGGAAGGCACTCTCTTGCAGACTGTGTTAGGTTGACCCTGGCGGCCGGAGCGCTCAGACCTTGTGGACGCTGAGGTGAGCCTGGGATTTCCAGAGGAGCTTTGGAGGGCAGAGAAGTGATGGTTACTGCTGTCACGCTCCGTCCGGACACAATGGGCTGCAGGAAGTGGTGCCAACGGAGACCTACCCAGGCTCTCTTTGGTTCTTAGTCCGCGGCTGTTTCCTGCGTGCTGGAATCGTGGGGGCAGTATTTAGTCAAGTTCCTGATGCCTGTGCTGGGAGCTAATGCGTTGACCCCTAACATGTGTGTCCCCACAACAACGTAGGAACTGGGGTGCTGGGTAGGGCACACTGTTCGACGACCATGGGTGACATAGTGAGAAGTTCCCCTCTTGCTACCTCTCTGACATCAGAGGGGAGAGCCCATTGTCATCACTGTGTCATATGCTACGCCATTACATTATGTCTCAAAACACGCGAATTTTCCTTGTTAAAACAAAAAAGTGTGACAGCATCTGGCGAGAACCGAGAAATAATGTCACAATTTTCTTTTGTTAAATTTCACAGTTCCTTTTTTATAACACATGCATTGCTCTTTCCTTTGTGCTAATAATACAAAATGCTCTTTTATGGTTCTTTTATTTATGTAGGTTGTTTAAGGAAGTGAATCAATTACAATTAGATAAATTAACAAATACATAGGAAAAGTGATAAAAATTGCTAAAGTCATTCAGGAGGGACCTAAGTGGGCAGATTCATGAGGAGACACCAAAAGCACCCAGTTAATGATTCAGCTATAGAAGCCCAGGCTGTGTAAGGAAAGTTCTAGAATAATCCTTGGTCAGAGACTGGCGATTTTAGGATAATGTTGACATACTCTTTTACATCTGAGTCTCCCTGCACATGTTCTTTTTCAACCTGGGAAAATAACAAAGGGTGGGCATGGAATAGATTACTTGCGATAGTGCTTTTTCTTGTTGGATGCAAGGAATGGTTTCACCAGATCTTCTGGCTAAGCGAGAAGGAGACAGCACAGTCATTTACCAGTGGAGCGCGGGACGGCGGTCCCCCTACACCTCACGTCCCAGTCCTCCTCCTCGTACCACTTTATATACGGAAGGCTATCTTTTCTGGCATTCAATTCGATATTTTTATATAACATAATTGTCTCTTGATTAACGGATCTTATGTCACTCATGTCAAGGTTGTTAGTTGAGCTATAGCACTACTTCTTTTCTTTCTTAGCTTCTAGGAAAGGCACATAATTATGCCACATCGTGTGCATTGTCTATGTCTCATTTTAGTTTTGATTATATTTATTTAATTTCTACTTTGCAAGATATTAACTTCTGCACCTTTTTTTCATCCTTGTATTTTCAGTGTCCTAACTCTTGGCATGTTTGTTGTAAGCAGTGTGTTTTTTTTTAATCTAGTCTCTCTTATTTTTTATGTAGTCTCGTATTTGATTTATTTTCACTTAATGTAACTATTGATCAGATTGGAATTAAATTTACTTATCTTTCTAGTTGTTTTTCTATTTGTAGCAATGGTTCACTTTTCTCAGCTTTCTTGACTTCCTTTAGATGAACTAAGTAATTTTAAAAAGTTTAATTTGGGGCTGGAGCCATGGCGTAGAAGGTTTAGCCTATTCCTTTCCTAGTTTGTCAATTATCCATTCCTTTAGTAATCTCTTGGTGGTTGCACTTGAGCTGTACTGGCCGATCGTATGGCCACTGGCCACATATCTGTTTAAAGTCATTTCAATGCGGTAAAATTAATACACAAAAAAGATACATACTTCAAAGGTATAATTTGATAAAGACATGTATATTACATGCATACAAAGGTAAAAATTATCACCACAATCATGCTACTAATGTATACCCATTACCTCCAAAATACTCCATACACCCTTTTAACTTCTGACCTCCTGCTCCTTTACTCCTTCTAGGCATTGAGTACTGATTTTAGCAGCATTTCAGAATTTTGATGTGTTTTGTTTTCCTTTTAATTCACAGTAGTACCCAAATTTCTTTAGATTTCTTTTCTAACTCATGGATTGTTTAAAAGTATAATATTTAGCCTTGAAATAGTTGGAGATTTTCTAGACATGTGTCTGTTATCCAAGCTGAAAACAACTTCCTGGCCCCATGAAGTCAGATAACCAATTCTCCAGGAGAATTTTTTCTATACGCAGGTGCCTATGTCAGTGGTCATTGTCAGAATGAATTTCATGGCATTTATGTTTTATAAAAGACTTATTTATTTGAAAGAGAGAGAGAGAGAGAGAGAGAGATCATCTGTCTATTGGTTCACTACCCCAAATGGCTGTAACAACGAGAGCTGGGCTAGGCTAAAGCCAGGAGCCAGGAATTCCATCTGGATTGCCCATGTGGATGGCAAGGACCCAAGCACTCAGGTCATTTTCCATTGTTTACCTAGGTGCATTAGTAGGAAGGTAGATTGGGAGCAGGGTAGTCAGGTCTCAGACTGGTGCTCCAATATGGGCAGCGGGTGTCCCAAATGTAGCTTAACCCCCAAATCTCACCCACAGTGAGTTACGGCACTGGTGCTAAACGTCTTAATAAACCCACCAGAGGGCAGCAAGTCAACATGGTAATTCTGCTAAGAAGTCTGACCATGGAGAGGAAGGTCCAGGAAGGTGAGAGAAGGAAGGAGCTGACAAAGTGGGTGGAGTCAAGATTGCTACTTAAAAGAGGATAGATGGAAAGGAACCTGAAGTGAAATTCAGGGAAACTCTATACACATTGTGATTTCAATAGTTTTTACACACACACGCACACACACACAGTGACTATGGGCAAAGAGAATGCTGTCGAATTTTGTATTTTTTATTAATCTTTTGCCTTTTTTAAGAAACATAATTGGCTGATTTTATACAGCACTTGTATCTTTTCGTCCAGAAGCATATTATAAAATGACAGAGGACATCTACTACCACCATTTCTACAGACTAGGAAATAAATGTCTAAGAAAGAAAGATGTTATGGACCCCATCTTTTATACCCACCCCAACAGTCTAAAGAGGAAAAAGCCAATGACTTTCTCACAAGAGCTCATGACTAATGTCGCTTTGGTATCAAAACCTGTATTCTGATCCATTAGAAGCATTGAGACAAGACTCAGACATTCCCAAAGAAAGAAGCACAATGCACGCCGTCATCGCCTATTCAGCAACAGCGAGCACTGCATGGGAACTGTCTCATCCTGGGAATTAATGTCTCAGTGTCCCCAAGAATCCATTTGTCTTCTTCAGGAACAATGTTGATAGCCACATCTGTCCTCCCAAATCGACCCCCTCTGCCAATTCCATGTAAAAGAAAGAAAACTGCAATCAGAAAACTCCTCACACACTTGTGAACTTATTGAATACAAGGATCCACTTGTTAACCATTAGCTGCTGTTTACTTATCAAGGTTATAGTTCTTGCTTCTAATTGGAGCACTACCTGTTAATCAGTATCTAAAAAGAAAAAAATCTTCCTTTGCAGTTAGCGCCAAAAATGATTCAATCAAAACCAATTAATGAGATTTTATCAGGCGCCTTGAGCATAATTATAAAGCAGATGACAGTACTTTGTTTGGGGTAGTGAAATTAAAGCCCATACTGAAGTGGGCCAGCCATGAACAGGTGTCAGCCTGGGGCAGATGGGAACACCAGGGCTGGAAAGAGCAGTTACGTAATCCATTTCGACGCTCTTCTGGAACTGCAAACTGTAAATACACATGCCACAAGGTTAACTATTTCCTAAAGTTTACAACTTTTTTCCCAGTGGGAAAAGAAATATTTGGTATGGTGACTCAAACTTGTCACTGCTTTTTTAGCTCAGTTTTGCACGTTCTAACTGAAAATTACTCAAACAGGCTTACCACCTAAACAGCTCTCTCTACCTTCACTCCTGATAGAAACCAGGCCATACAAACCACCTCACAGAAATTCTCCCCAATAGAATTGTTAAGACACAAAATGCTTTGGCTGGAACAACTTAAAAATATCAAATCATCACAGCAAAAGAAAAACAAATATAAACACCAACTCGCTCTTGATTCAAGCAGTGTGCTGTTTTGTTTATGGTTCCATGTCCTGAATTGCATCAACCCGTTTCTAAGTGCCGTCTCGTCTCAACTGCTGCTACCGACTCCAGTAATGTAGTTCTCACGAGTGGTAGGTAGATCGTGGTTTATAGCCAAAGACACCTGTTGTCCATCAGTCCCGTGAGCCAACAAGTCAGTAGTGATCAGAACACAGCTTGATCCTGATTGGAATCCTCTCATGATGACATCTCTTTCCTTCTGGCCCATGTCACCGTGACGGAGCAGAAACTGTGACGTCCCTGGCGTGCTTTTTTTTAGTGAGCCACAGTCCACACGGTGCCTTGTGTTGAGAAAAATAACAGCCCGCTTGATGGTCAGGGTTTCGTACAAGTCACACTCTCTTTCACTGTAAATATAGAACTGTTTGATTCTTTCTTTTTTTAAAAAATTTTTATTTTTTTTTAATTTTTGACAGGCAGAGTGGACAGTGAGAGAGAGAGAGACAGAGAGAAAGGTCTTCCTTTGCCGTTGGTTCACCCCCCAATGGCTGCCGCGGCCAGTGCATCATGCTGATCTGAAGCCAGGAGCTTCTCCTGGTCTCCAATGGGGTGCAGGGCCCAAGTACTCCGGCCATCCTCCACTGCACTCCCTGGCCACAGCAGAGAGCTGGCCTGGAAGAGGGGCAACCGGGACAGAATCTGGCGCCCCGACCAGGACTGAAACCCGGTGTGCCGGCGCCACAAGGCGGAGGATTAGCCTAGTGAGCCGCGGCACCGGCCAATTCTTTCAAGGTCAGTTCTTCCTTCTTCACCAGAATGTGGTTTGGGTTGCTCATGAGTTTTTGGCCATTTCTAGCACATCAATCGGCACTGTGGTGGAAAGCAGCACAACCTGTGTGCTGAGACTTGGTTTTTGAAAACTCTCTTAGATTTGATCCTTAAAGCCTTGCCTCAACGCTTCATCTGCTTCTTCCCAAACAAACACTATGATCCATTTTGGAGACAGGTATCTTCTGTGTAA